AAAAAACTATTTGTCTTTATGTTTATAAGTAATAAAATTTCGTAATGTATTTATCTTTATTGCATGAATCTAAAAGTTTCATTTCAAGTCATTTTATTATAGAGCACAATAAAGATAAGCCAACAACTCTATTTGAAAAAGCACTAGTGAAATTCCAATAAAATGAAATAGTTGCAATAAAAGTATCATATTCAAAGGATTTATTTGTTTGCCTAGGAAATAAATGATGAAGTGGGCAATAACTTTAAGATTATAATCTACCGTCTACTCATACTTAAGTATTTTAGAAGTAACGTAGAGCGAGACATATAATTTCAATAAAAATTAAATATTTTCAGCAAGAGATCTGCAGATAACAATCTATTATCATAGACTCACTAATTCATATGATTAATCTGTTCAATCAAACCCAATTTAATTATATTTTAATGATAGTGATGTAGTCTGAATGCTAAACTCTGGTTTGGTTCTGACGCAAGGTGATGACTATTTTCTGACTTTTTTAAGAGTCAAGTAAACGCGTTTGTCTCATGATAGTATCATAAGTAGAAAAGCCAGAAAACGTATTTTAGTGCGTTTTCAACAGAGACGAGTTTACACGTGTTTTGGTTTTCGAACGTGTTCACACGCCTTAAAATGTTGCATGTTGGACGCGTTCAAGCAGCATCTTTTGATATAAACAAGTTAGGATGCTCTAGAACTGGAATGTGGGAAGTTACGTTTATTCGTTTCAAACGCGTTCAGAGTTCCGAAAATGTTGCATTTTGGATGTGTTCAAACGCGTCAAGTTGCATAGCTTGTAGACATTCAGGGACACTTTAGGAGGTCAAGCATGGATACATGAGTGATAAAAAGAATATCATTAAGTTATTCTAATTTCAATAAAAATAGATAGGTTTTCGTTCGTATAGCATCTATTCATCAGGTCCTTATTGAAAACTTAGATCGATTTGTATGAATTCTTAAGCACTGCACGCAGAAATAACGAAAACAAGATAATAATTATCGATTGAAAACTTAAAGAGATATTTGTGAAAAATTATCCTGCTTAAAATATGTATCATAAAGAACTATTTATAGAAATATGCTTCAGCTTCTTATTCTTGTTCAAATGAGTTAAGAGAAGCTAATATGTTTATCCAAATCGATTAGAAATTCAACTTTTTCTTTCAGCTACTAACTTCTAAATCTAATATAATTACACAATAGAATTTCCTTCAATCACAATATTAAAGTATTTATTCTCATCAACTAAACTATATAACTATATGTTCAACTGCATTCCAGAAAGCAGTGGATCTAAACGCCTTTTCCCCAATTTGACAGATTGACGGAAGCATTCAATGAAACGCGTTTTATCGACGCTGTCAATTAAATAGCGTTAGTGGAAGAGACATAGCTTCTTTCCACCATTAAACGTGACCAGAGGCATAAAATGATATGAATGCGTCCCAACGCGTTTCATAATAAAAGGTTAAATACGTTTTTATACATTTAGTCTAAAAATATGCTCCGAAACTATGAATTTTCTCTAAACACATTCGTGAAACACAGTGATTGATGCATTTTTGTCATGCTTCAATATAAAAGCGCGTTAGAACGCCGAAGATTTGCAACATTAACGTGTCTAGCTGCATCTAAAATGCGTTTCATGGTTACATGGGTAGATGGACGAAAAAGTTCACGGATCATCAATTTTGTGTTCTGACGAAAAGCTTTTCTACAAGATGGAGAGAAATGAATACAGACCTACAAGACTAATCCTTTTTTATCTCGAAATAAATAGTAAAAGAAAAAATAAGAAGCCATGCATTGAATTATTTAACTATCGTTTCTTTTCTTTATTAGATAAGTAAAAAACTTCATTGATTTACATGGTCAGGTCATTTTGCTAGACCAGTTGTTGTTGTTATAACAATTTGATATGAAGTTTTTGTTAAACGTGAGATATCACCAACACTACATATAACATTATTTCTTGTTGGTGATGAACCGATCGAATAGATGATATTGATGTTTGACTATTTCTGAGTGATGAATGAAGATTTGACGTGATTGGAGATTAAGAAACATTTGATATTGACTGAGTAGGTATAACATTACGTTTATCAACAATAGGTACCAGTAATAAAGGTAATTCAAGAATAGATGATGTTTATTGTGTACATGTTAGAATTGATGGAGGAACAATTCCTATTTTTGTTATTACATCATGAGCATTTTTTGATGATGATGTTGAAATAATAGTTGAATGGTGAATAACACCTGTTGTTAATATAGATGATTTTTCAGAATTAGATGATAGTGGTGAGGATTCATTTGCTAGAAGTGGTGCTTGAGAAACTGTTCATGATAATTAACGTGATTTAGAGTGAAATTTAGAAATTGTTTCAATCACTTCTCCATCTGGTAATGAAACATCTAAATATTAATATCAGTATAATATATGGAAAAAAGGGATAATGTCTAAATAACTACTATTCGTTGTTGTTGGTTTTCTTCAACTAATAAATCAATTTTACATTGTAATTGTTTTAATACGTGCTGTTAAGACCTGTTTATTACGTTCATATTCTAATTCTGATTCTTTAAATTTCGATTCACATTGTCTATCATCACTAAAATAGAATTTAAAAAAAAATTAATTTAAAAGAAAATCTTTTTTTTTTACTTGATATGAGGATTTG